CTCCGTGCACGTCTACGGTCCCCGTGGAACGCTCCGTGCACGTCTACTATTTCTGTGGAGAACGCTTTGTGCACGTCTACTATTCCTGTCGAACGGTCCGTGCACGTCTACGGTTCCTGTGGAACGCTCCGTGCTCGTCTACGGTTCCTGTGGAACGCTCCGTGCACGTCTATGGTCCCAGTCGAATGCTCCGTGCACGTCTACGGTCCCTGTGGAACGCTCCGTGCATGTCTACGGTTCCTGTGGAACACTCCGTGCACGTCTACGGTTCCTGTGGAACGCTCCGTGCACGTCTATGGTCCTAGTCGAATGCTCCGTGCACGTCTACGGTCCCTGTGGAGCGCTCCGTGCACGTCCACGGTCCCTGTGGAACGCTCCGTGCACGTCCACGGTCCCTGTGGAGCGCTCCGTGCACGTCCACGGTTCCTGTGGAGCGCTCCGTGCACGTCCACGGTCCCTGTGGAACGCTCCGTGCACGTCCACGGTCCCTGTGGAGCGCTCCGTGCACGTCCACGGTCCCTGTTTTTCTGCCACCAGAAGTCGTGCACGTGTGAATGGACCGCTGAGGGTTTTCTTTATTTGACTGAATCAGAAATTAAATGTGAAAGTGAGAGAAATAAACAGGAAGGAGCTCTAATCCCGACAGATTAACGTCTTTAGAAGGAACGTTGGTTTAAATCTGAAAAATAAAAAGCTTTATTGAAGCAACTGAAATTTTTTCTGATATTAAAATTAATTTAGTTTAAAAACAGATAAACGAGTTCAACGTGAGAATTAAGTGATGATAAAACAATGATCATAAACAGATTTATGGAATTACTCTGAACAAAACAAACAAACACAAACATTTACTTTTATAAAGTTGTTTGTCTGAAACAGGAAGTTTAAGTTTTATAATTGTAATTATTAGTGATTTAACTTTTTTATCTTCTCCAAACTGCTAAACAAACGCTAATCTTTTATTTTCCACTCATTCCTGAGTTGTTTATTTATTTATTTATTTATTTATTTATTTATTTATTTATTTATTTATTTATTTATTTATTTATTTATTTATTTATTTATTTATGTTTCCTTTTGTTTGAAATAAAGAAGAAGAAGAATTTCTGAGCTTGTTTGGTTTCTGTTTCCTGCAGAGCAGCTGATCAGAACATTGTGTGGAAAACTCTTCAAGGTTTGTTTATCTGTAAACAAACAAACAAAAATAAAAAAAAGAAACTCCAACTCAGTGAAACCCCAACCTCCAGCATCTGTGGAAGAAAACTGCTCCAAGTGCCAACGAACCAGAGAATTCAACTTTTCTTAAAAAAAAACAACTTTAAATCTGTTCTAAATCCCTAACTGTTTACAAACAAACAAACAAACAAACAAAGAGAGCCTGTTAGGAGAAGCTCGGTGAGTTTGACTCCCGCAGGAATGATTCAGTTTCCACTCAACAACACTCAGAAAGATGTTTACACACAAGATGTAAACTAACAAACAACAAGCTGCCTGTAAACAAACAACAAGCTACCTGTAAACAAACAACAAGCTGCCTGTAAATAAACAACAAGCTGCCTGTAAACAAACAACACACTGCCTGTAAACTCTCTCCTGCAGTTTGACGACGTGTTTCAACTAAAAGCCGAACTTGTTGTTATTTAGCAACATAAAGTTGTTTGTGTTTTGAAATAAAAGGTAAACAAAGTGACGCTCCGTGTTTCTTCCTTCAAAATAAAACTCTTAATTTCTCGTCCTGTCGCTGCGTCTTTTTGATCCGACGTGGAGAAAACAAAAACAACGAGCCGACGCTCAGCAGCTCGTTGTTTTTTTGTTTATTTTTTATCTCCGAGTGAAAATATTTCAACAACTTTTGAAACTTTCATCCAAACCGACCGAAATGTTCATTTTGGACCCGTTCATGTGTCCAGAACCACCAAACAGATTTATTCCTGATCAGCTGCAGGATTCTCTAAAAAGAGTTTTTATAAAAACAGGTTGAATGAAAAATTCTGCGCTGCAGTTGAGTTTTGTTTCATTTGACCTTTGACCTTTAGTCCAACGGCCAGTGGGAGCCCAAAACATAAACAAACAAACAAATCTAAACAAAAGCCTGACTTTATTTGTGTTTTTGTTTTCTTTCCTTAACGACCCTCCAAGTGAATCGTGTGGCCCCCTGGGGGCCCCGGCCCCTCAGTGTGAAAAGACTGAACTAATAATTTATGATTAATTTTTGAAAAATAAATCATCTTTAGAAACAAAGGAAAATGTTGTTTCTTTTATTATTAATCCTGTAAAGTTTTAAATTAATTTAAGCAGAAAACAAATCGTTTTGTGTTTTTATTTAAAGTTTTAGAATTTATTTATGATTTGATTTATTCTGAGTTTGTTTGTTTGTCCGAGCATCGGTTTGTTCAGATTAAAACATTTTAAAACGTTTTTATTTAATTTATATTTCAAATATTAATCGAACGAAAACAAAATTATTTTACATTTAAAATAAACATTTTCTGAACTCTTTTCTAATTTAAATTAAAAACTTTTACAGGATCAGAAATAAAAATTCAGATTTATTTTGTTTTTTATTTCGTTTTTTGTTTCTGATCAGATTCAGTAGAACAGGTCCAAACCTGCAGGAACCGGGTCAGAACCAGCAGAACAAACTGGTTCAACTCAGGGAAACAAACAACCTTTGTTTGTTTGTTTGTTTGTTTATCATCAGGGGAGAAATGTTTTCCACATTCACTAAAAGCTTGATTTAATTTAATCTGGTCCAGACAGAACCAGAACCAGAACCAGAACCTGGAGCTGCAGACTCTGATCATCGGATCAGCTGCTTGAGTTGCACGCACGCGCTCATACTGACAGATGACGTCTGAGTAGAACCGGAAATTAGTCACATGACCCAAACACTTCCGGCTGCAGGTTCCTCAGAGTTATAGCCGAAACGGAAACAACAAGAAGAAAACTAATAAAGAATGAGGAGGAGGAGGAGGAGGAGGTGCAGCGATCTCTGTGATGATGAGGAGTCACCTCCAACAGGTCAGCTGGAACCGGAAGCGTCACGTGCGACAAAACATTAAAGCCAAATGTCGGCGCGCGGATCATCAAAGACTGGCGTTTTCCCGCGGGTTGACAGCAGCCTCCTCTTCATCACCTCTGCTCCTCCTCTTCATCAACTCCGGCACCTCCGCGCACGCAGCAGCGCGTGTAACGAAAACAAAGGAGTCCGGCCGACGTGAGGATGACGTCAGAGAGCAGCAGAACCTCAGATCCGGACCGATTCAGTGGAGCTGAACTGTGACGTCACCGAGATTTGACTTTAAGTTGATAAACGTTTTTAAACATTTCGTTTCTTTGTGTTCATTTATTTTCAAAAATTAACGAAGCTTTAAAATGTAAATAATTTTGTAATCTTGTTCACATTTAAGTTTTATTATCTGACAAATAAATATTTAGTCCTAAAATACAAAATAAATCATTTACACTTTTAAAATATTTAAAACTTACTTTAAACTTGGTTTATAAATTTTAGATTCTTGGTATAGTATTTTAATTTTTAACTTTATTATTATTTTATTTTATTGTTATATTTATTTAATTATTATTTTTATTTTATTATTATTTAAATTATTATTTAAATGTGTTTTTAAAATGCTGGAATGTTTTTGATAAAAGGTATCCAATAAATTAATTTAATATATAATATTTGTACCATTTTCTTTATTATAATAAAAAATTAACAAGACGTGTCTTTAAACTTTTGTATTAAACTGTGAATATTTTATCATTTTAACATAAATAAATAAAATATTACTCTTTAAACTCAGATTTAGATTTAAATCAACTGAAAGCTTAAAATATTAAATTATTTACAGATTTTTAAATATACGCAGTAAAACGTTTGGTACAAATGATCTATTTTAAAATCCATTCAAGTAATAAAACCATTTTATTAATTAATCATTAATTTTAATCAAAGTGTGTTTTTCTATATTTAATTTTAAACAATGAAAAAGCCGTAAACACTTAATTACATGTCAAGAAATAAATTCGAAAAAATAATTTCTTACAAAATATTTTCAGTTTTATTTTAAAATAAATAAAAGTACAGATAAATGTTAAATCTGAAGAATTATTTAAGTAGATTTTAGATGAAAAATAATAATTATTTATTGAAATATTAAAACATTTTATTATCGATTCTTTTGAATTTGATCAAAAAGACTAAAAATAAATGCAGTAATGTTTTTAATATTTTCTGTTATTTTAGAATTAAATAAAATGTTTAATAATAAAATGTGATTTTAGTCCATCTGTCTTTAAAATATAAATTTATCTTTTTTACAAAATCAATTAAAATAAACTTTTGTTTCTCAGAGAAGACTGCAGCGGTTCTAGACGGTGTCCACATCTGGATTCTTCTCTGCCTGATAGAGCTTTAAGCAGCATCTGATGAACCATGAGTGAACAGAACCAGAACTGGACCTGGTTTTAAGGCAACAAGGTCCAGAACCGAGCCAGACCTGGTTTTGGCGCAGTGACCCCTGAGGGTCCAAATCCTTGGCCTTCAGCCTCATCATTTGATCTCAGAGAGTTCTGCATCCACCATCTGGACCAGCTTCGGGTCACTGGTGTCCAGGTCCAGCAGTCACTGTAGAGGCAGAGACATCTGGACATGTCTCCAGTCCATCACAGGGACACACGGAGACAAACCAGACAAAATAGATCTGAGAGTGCAGAACCTGTGCCCATCTTTACTTCTGTCCTCTGATCAGGCCCAGATGGACAGAACCTGGATGATCCAGCTGGATCTGGTTCTGGGTTTCCTCAGATCTGCTGCCTTCAAACTAAAATGATTTTTTGTTTTATTTTTTTTCTGTAAAACTGATCATCTTTCAACTTTCAACTTTTAATTTGTGTATTTTGTGCAGTGCGAGTTATTTTTTTTCTTCTATTTTACTCAGTTTTATTATTTTATTTTAGTTTTATTATTTTATTTTAGTTTGGAGGGATTTAGAATCCAAAGCTGGTGCCCTGTCCCGGTCCAGACCCGGTTCCGGCCCACTTACTCTCCTGCTGGGTGGTGTCGCTCCCGCTGGTCAGCCCCGGGGACTCCAGCAGGCTCCTGCCCGCCTCCCCGACGCCGTCGTCGGCCTGCGGGCCCACCATGTCCCCGGCCTCCTCCAGGTCCAGCAGGTGGCTCACAGAGAAGTTCTTCTTGGCCTGCAGCTGGTCCAGGTTCGACGTGATGGGGCTCTCCAGGCGGTTCGGTATCGTGGCTTGCCTGTCCATCACGTGCGCATAGCTGGAAGTCATGACACGCGAAGAGGAGAAGGAAGAACCAGGAGAAGGAGATCCGCGCGTGCAGGGCGCACGAGCTGCGTCCACAGACCCGAACCCGAGGTTCTGTTCACATCCAGAACAGCCGCGGAGGCTCGAACCAGGTTCCGATCAGACCCGGGACCCCCAATCCATCCGGCGGAGCGTCAAGAACCTCCTGAGTTCTGCTGGTCCCGGAACTTGGAGCAGGTTCGAAACCCTTCAATAAAAAAAGAAGGCGGCTGTCTCCGGGTTCTGGTTCTGGTTCTGGTCGGGTCACATCGGAGCCGGACGGGCTGCTGCTGCTGCTGAGGATGATGATGACCAGATGCGCTGAGCTCCGAGTGCGCGCGGGGTCCTGAGCCGGACCAGGAGGAGGCGGGGACGGAACCGCCCCCCCCGTCTCATATGAGCCCCGTCATTACGTGGCACACGCGCGCGCGCGCGCACTCACACCGACTGAAGGGAGGCTCCTCCTGAGACCATGAGCTGTGAACAGAACCGTCAGTCGGTTCTGACAGGTGTGTGTGTGCGCGCGTGCGTGTGTGTTTCTTCTGTTGGATTTCGAAATGCGGGTCTGCACTCGATGTAAACAAAGCCCTGAGCTGAAACAGGAAGTTAGAGTCACGTGACTAACCTAGTTTGTTTCTTACTTCCTGTTTTTATTTGGAGCTTCTTTTTAATTGTTCATATTTATCTTTATTGAAAGAATAAAAAACAATAAAATACAGTAATAAAATAAGAGCTGCCGGGGGTTACGAGCTTTGAGACAACAACAAATGACATGAAAACATTAAAGAGAGCTCATAAAGTGTAAGTTTTAATGGACTTGGTGGAATATCTAGTTTAAATAAATTGTTTGGTCTCGTCTTCGTGACTCTAACGTGCGGCGTTAACTTCCTGTGCCGCTCTGAAAATGGAAGAAATGTTCTTTAAATTAAGACGAACGCGTTGATGCCTCAAATATAACGTGAAAAATTAGACTTCGGTTAAAAACTAAAACTTGAGACATTTAAAGGGATATTTGGAACATTTTGAAGGAAACCAAAGAGGATGGCTGTTGTCTTAAAACAACATCCATCCTTCCATCATCCATCCATCCATCCATCCATTCATCCATTCATCCATCCATTCATCCATCCATTCATCCATCCATCCATCCATCCATTCATCCATTCATCCATCCATCCATTCATCCATCCATCCATCCATCCATCCATCCATCCATTCATCCATTCATCCATCCATTCATCCATCCATCCATTCATCCATTCATCCATTCAT